CTGTGTCACACACTTGTCACTGTTCCTTGGGGCCACGCTGCCAGCTCCTGCTTGCTCCCGTCTCCTCTCCCTTCTCCCTGTTGCTCACAGCACACACACAGAGGAGGCATTGACTTGGTGAGTGATGGCCACCACAGCTGCCTGTGTGCAGGAGGAAGGATGGAGCTGGACCCCGCATCCCTTCTGCTCGACTCAGCACACCGTGCGCTGGGAAAATGCATGTGGGAGTTCAAATGTCCTGTCCCTGCCCATGGCCTGCACTAGCTGCAGCCCCCAAGGGATTGATCCTGGATGGGAAAAAACACTGTTCTTGAGGAATCCAGCCCAACACAGACCCCAAAGGTAACTACTCTGTGATTAGAACACCTTGCGCTGCAGGCTCACTCATCCCCCCATGAGCACCAGGGAGCTCCCAGCACTGATGCTCATCCCAGTTTGGGGGTCGCTGCAGCACCCAGGTGGTTTTTGGGGTTGTTCAAACCACCCTGAGCAGAAAACAAAAGCAAATCACGGCCGAGCACAGGAACACGCCTGGCACGAGGCGGCTGCTGTCGCCGTGAGTCACGGTGCCCTCTTGTCCCAGTTTCACCCACCCCATCACGGGGCATCACCCGCCCTAGTACAAAACACGGCACTCCCAGCTAAGGAAGCACGTTGGCAGCGTTTCCCTCCCCAGGACACTCGGCCTGGCTCCCTGCTTGCTGCTCAGGCACAGTCCCCCCGCAGCCATACAAGACCTCACTCACAGGAAGCACATTGCAGCTCCTGGTTTTACATGAAAAACCAGAAACAAACAAGAACCCAAACCCTCCTTTCCTGCAGTGCCTTTAGCCCTGTGACAAACTGTGATCCTTCTCCTTAAGCAGCAGCTTTTGGTTCACCCCCAGCCTGGTGAGATGGGCAAACCCACCTGCAGACAAAGTGCAGGTACAAAAGCTAATTAACCCACCCTCGTTGTGCCAGGCCAGGGCTGGGGCTTTGCTAGTCCCAAGGTAAGAATTAACCTGATGGGCCAGGCTGGCTCCAGCTCATCTGCTCTTGCCTCCAGCAGCAGCACGGGGCCATCAAAGCCATCAAGTAACATTTCAACAGGTAACTATAAATTAGACTTTAACAGATATAATTTTAAACAGCAATTATTCACATTTAAACCCGATTTTGATGTAAATGGCAGGATCTGGTTGCAGCACTGGCCTTTCCCCTGCTCTCAGCTCCACTGGGTGAAAGGCCGCTGTGGGTACAGCAGGGTCAGGGCAGCAGCTCCTGACTTGGCTTCCTCCAGGAGCCACAAGGCAGAATTCTGCAGTGTTAAGGCAAAAAAACAGAGGTAAAACGCACATAGAGGCTCTAAGCTGAATCCCTCCTCTCACAAGCACCTCCAGATGACCAAGCTGTATGGTGCACACAGTGCCTGAGTTACCTACAGAACTGGTGCTGTCTCCCTCCACCCAAATGGGTTAATGATAAATCTACAGCAAATAACTGCAGCCCATCCCTCAGAACAGTCAGGTCACCTCCAGCTGTGCATTGGGGTCAGCTAAATTAAATCCCAGCCATCTTCCCAAGGCTTTAACCATGGTTCTGAGCCCCGACTGCCTCCAAGCAACCGAGCAAACACAAGTGAGCACTAGTGGACCATCAGATTTTATGCATGATGGATGTTAGCTAAGCTTTGCTCTTACTAGAAGGAAATGCCACTGAGTCAAGTCAGAACTAAACCTGAACAAGAGAAAACACAAATCAATGTTTATGAAAAACTGCTGCTTTCAACCAGAACCCAGCTTGGAATGAAGGCAGGGTTACAAGACCAAGAGTCTATGTAGGCCACAAGCTTGTAAGTGTGCTACAGCAGGGAAGAGGCAAGTTCTTGCTGTACTTTGAGCAGCTGACTGATTTCTGAGAGAGAAAGAGCTCAGGTGAGAGCCACTGTCACAGGACTTCATCAGCCTCCACCAGTGGAGTGGGAACAGTCTCCAGCTCCGTATTTCACAGTACAGCTGAATGGACTCGAGTGGTTACAACCCCCTAAAAGCTCATTCTAGGCGAGCTGAAGTTCAAAAGTCAAACTGTTGGTTAAAGTCTGGAAATACACAATTGCCTACGCTGCTGTTCTCAGCATTAACAATCTTTTTATTATCCTTAAAGAGATCTGCTACTTTCGCAGTGATTTATTACAATGACTGAGATGTGATCAAGAGGAACAAACAATTCCAGTGGGGAGTTCTGTGAGTAAAACAGGGGAGAAAAGAGATTGTACAAGAGGGAAACCAAGTCAATGTTCAGCCAAGTGGAGAAAGCTGGGAAGGTAACTTTGAGCACAGGACCTCTCCCTCACCCACCAAGGTCTCCTACTATAATTACAGGCTCCCGAGTGCTGCTGGGGCTGCAACTGCTTCACTGGACACATACAAGACAGCTTAAGCAGACAACTCAAGGTGTGATGAGCAGATGATCCTGTACTAAATCACTAGTTAACACACACCACAGTCAAGCTGAAACTTCATCAAGGTACTATTCAAGTGCAGGCGAAAGCTGCTGCTCCAACAGCACCTTTTACACCGAAACCCACGTATTTGCAGGTTTGATGTTTGAGGAATGAAGTCAAGAGGGCAAAAGCACACGTGATGTTCAAGCTGCTCCTCCAAGTGAACATGCCCCCGTCAGAGCCTGCACTCACCAGGCCTCAGCGGGGATAAGCTTGCGTAAGGTGAGGTGGGGCTCAGCAAGGACTGGCTTTAGTGGGTGAAGCTTTACAGCTGTGGCTCTGAGCACAGAACTGCCTCAGTGCTGGTGTTCATCCCTCATACTGCATCAGCCTTCAGGGAACACCACACATTCTGAACCAGCAGAACAGCCCCTGTCCTGAGCATGTTTCATGAAGTACTTTGAGAGCGTGGAGCTGCAGCAGTGCAGCTCAGGAGCTGGTCAGCACAGAACTCACTCCCCAGGCACATTTCCAGAGTCACACAAGTGGAAAAAATTAATAATCCAACCCTGAGTCTCTATAAACCTCCAACCCCAGCACACACCTATTGTCCCACCTGTTGACACAACAAATACATCTGTCTTTGTTGTGAACTCCAGCTATCGCCCTGCAGTGACTCACTCCATCCTTACGTTCACTCCTGTGGACTCTGTCACCCAAGTCACACAGCCCAATTAAACCTCAATTTATTTTTTTTGGTGTAGTTAGATACAGTTATTCCAGCAAGAACCTTATCTAAGCTGTGGATCTGTCACTTCAGGAAGGCAGCCTTGATTAACAAGCAAACACATGGCATTAGCAGCTTCGGAATAAGGGAGCAAGTGAGATCAGGCACCAGAGGTTCTGCTGCGTTGCACGAGGCCTCCTACATGGCTACTCCCTGAACTACAGCACCACAAGTACAAGGCCTGAGAAGCAGGGAGGATAGCCAAGTGGATGGAGTGAACAGATGAGACAGGTTTGGATGGCAGGATCTTGATTAGAGGAGCAGGTCAGAAATTCAACAGTTCACCAGGACCAGGCGTCACAGCACAGACACCAACACCGAGCACTGTTATCCCAGCAGAGACACTTCGTATTGCTGAGATGTCTACACAACAGTGGGGCAGCAAGGAATGGTGCAACAGCTCACAAGAGAAAGCTGATGATCACTCAGCTGGTATCTGGATGCAATGTTAATGTTTGAATGAATGGCTGAGGAGGAACACCATTTACAAGCTACACTCTTTGAAGAGTGTATTTAATTCCTCTTTTTAAACCTGAACTATTCTTTATGGGTAGATGTAATAAAATAGAGGAAAGAGCACCTACCAGTACAAATATTGGTCTGGGGCTGGGCTGAGCTCCCTTCATCTGCCCACATCAGCAGCAGAGTCCTTGCGCAACAGAAGTCCTGGAGCAGGAAAGGAAAACAGGCACAAGCAGCAGTGCAGAATCAGGTACTGAATGTGTTTAAGGAACTTCTGTTAGTCCAAGGCTAGAAGGCACAGAGCTCACAAAACCGAGATGACACCAAGACTCAGCATCAGCTCCCTGGGAGGGCTGCACACCCACCGGATGCCAGTCTGAATTCCAGAATCACCTGTGCTACCAAGGAACACCATGGGCAAACAAGGACAGAGGCAAAGGGATCAGCACAACCCGGTGTTCAGGTTGTGTTGTTTCATAACCAGCAAATCCACTCAGATGTACTTTTAAAAATGTGTTTGTCCAGAAAGTTCTTGGAATTTATTATACACATTTAATAACAGCTGATACTCAACATTCAAGTGTTGAACTAAGTTTACAAGCACTTTAGCATACAATGTATACTTATGCTAAGAAACAAAGAATTCAGCATATAAGGAAGTGCAGAAGGAAACTACTTTAAAGATCTCCCCTTCCATCCAGTATCTACATAAACCTGTTGTATTTTTAAACCCCTACATGCTGTCAAGTAAAAAGACTAATCAAATATCTACACTTCACTGTGCGTATCATGTCTACTTCAGATGCAGGACAGAAATTTCCAAGAGCATGTTCCATTCCTCCTTCCAGAGGAACCTCAGACTTCAGAATTGACTGGATTTCAGAAACAGAGCTTGAAACTTTAAAAGAATCCAACAGTAGCAATCCAGTGAGTTTCAGATATGGTTATGGGAAGGCAGCGAGGCACCAGGACTCAGACCAGTGTGGACAGGACTAAAGCTCCTCAGCTACATTACTCAAACCTGCCATGAATTCTGTGCAAGACCTTGAAACATTTCACTTGTTCCAACCAGCAAATGTTCTGTTTGTTTGCTTTAAGCTTATCCATCCTCACAGAGCTGACCAGGTGCAGAGACAACGGGAACATCGCTGAATTAACCAAGGGCTGTTGCTGCTGCCCCAGGGCAGTTAAAAACCAAAAGCCCCAGTTTTTCAGAAGCCAGCATATTGGATCAAATACTTTTTCGTATCTGTGTATTCATTAACCCTGTACAAAAGAAAGCTGATTAGCAAATGTAAATGTTCATATAAAAATAGCCAACATCTGTTTAAATTTAGAAATTTATTTTGTTTAATCCACAAGCTTTATATAGCTTTAGTTAAAAAAACAAAAACAAAAAACAGTGAAAACATGACAATATCCAAAGTTTGGGTTCCTCAACCTTTCAAAGAGCACTCTGAAAGTTGCTTATACCATTGAGAAGAACCGTAACGAGACAAGATTTATGAGTGGGGCAATGACAGCTCACAAACAAAATTCATGGAACTGAAGGAATTTTTTCTGGGACTGCTGATAATGGAAACTGCCCTTTAAAAAAAGAACATAAAAATACAAATGAAATTCCAGTGTTCCAAATCAACATCAGTATAAACCCACAGTGTCCTGGTAAACAACATGCTTTCATTTATGTACCATTCTATGTTGCTACTCCTGATACGTTTTCATGGAGACTACACAGGCAACAGTAGAGAGCATTAAAAGATCAGTACTTTCTTGGTAATTCTGCAGTGGTTTTACTTCTGGGCAAGCTTACAAACCACAGAGGTTAGTAGCATAACATAAGTGGATACAAAAGAAGTCAAATGAGACCCTCACTAAAGGCTTTGTTGAATTTCAAAGAAACTAAGGGAACCGATGGTCATGTTTAAAACCTTCGAAACAAAATCCTACTGCTTCTAAAAAGTCTCACTCTAAATGAAATTATGTTGACTGCCAATGAAAGAATGTCACTAGTACACTGTGGAAACCTCTTGTAATGTAAATCCATGCCCTTTGTACATGGTGAACCTCAACCTAGCAATTATTACAACAAATGTTATATTCTAAAGCTCAAACACATTTAGCAATTTGAAATTGAATTCTGAGTACAAACCAAATAAAATGTACATTATATCAAAGGATTCGGCCTAGGATGGTGGGGACACTTGCGCCTTCCTCATCGACCTCAGTGCCTTCTCTCGCAGGTGTTTTTCTAGATCATCAAGGTTGTCTTCTGGTTCGCTTTCTGTTTCCTTCAAACAGAGAAAGCATTTCTTCACACACCGAGAGCCGACCCAGGCTGCAGCCCCCCACCCCATGTTGCAAATCATCCCCTAACACCAAGAGACACCAAGCTCCATTTCTGAAGCAAGTTTAGGACATGAAGAGCATGGTGCATCCACCCCCATCTATCTCTTATACTGGACTCTTAACAAGGTACCAAATTCCTACCTTTTTGGGTTCTGTCTCAGCTTCCTGGTCGTCCTGTGCTGAGGTGGTATCTGCTGCAGCCACAGCAGCAGCTGCTGCAGCCACTGCAGCCTTTTCCTTCTTATGTTTTTTGTGTTTCTTGTGCTTTTTATCCTTTTTATGCTTCTTATCCTTCTTTTTCTTCTTCTTTTTCCCACCCCCGTCTTGATCTGAATTCTGTAACAAACAATTCAACAGGTATTACAACTCAGTCCTCAGCTTTGAAAAATGCATGTTACAAAGTCTTTTTAAGAAGTTCTAAATTATTAAATTATTCCAAGGATTATTTCCCCCACCCCATGAATAACCTCAGGTGTTCAGCAGCTAAGTCTTATGAAAATAACTTGTCACATAACCCAAAACAACATTGCTATTATTAACAAACAAGTACCCTTGCAGGTGATGGGCTCTGAGTTGGGCTTTTAGCCTTTTTTTCAGGTGACCAGTTTGCAGAAGGAGAACGAGACTGAGTGGGAGATGGAGGTCCTTGATGTTTTTTGGGTGCTGGCTCAGGTGATCCTGATGCAGACCGTGATGAAGACACCCGTCTTGCAGATCGTGGACTTGGCGTTGGAGCCCTTCAAAACACAAGAGCCACAATTAGAGATGTTAAGAGGCAAACCAAGAAAATAAAGAGTAATGAAAATGTGAAATGAACGTATGTGATTATAAGGTGGTTAAGCTGCCACTTCAATATAAGATTAGTTCCTTTGCTAGCATGTGTTCCAAAGGACAGAACAATCTAATACCACCATGGATCCATAGTATAAAAGGTTATTGCAACTTGAGAGCTTGTCAAACAGTACTATTACAAATGATTGCTCCCTTTCTTTTCATATGACTAATTTATAGCCCCACTAAGTCAAGAGAAAAGCAACACTACTTTTTCATCCAATGGAGAAAGAGTGCAAGATACTACATGCAGCTATGTTGTCATTCTGAACAAATTAAGAGGCCAGTAGCACTTCTGACTGCCTGCTTGTAAGAACAGCAACACACCAAACTAAAAACATGTAGAATTTCAGCAGTTTATCTTGGATGACCACTTCTGAAATGGTTTTTGAGCTAATGAGAAGCGTTACTGACTTCAGAGACAGCTCATTTTTCTGTGAACAAAGCTACCTATGAAACTCTCAAACTTCGTTCCCCCTGCTCAGTCCCAGTGCTTTGCTGTGCTATGAAAAGACCCCTCTCACTCTGCATAAAGTCTCTTCAATGCTCCCCCTGTGCTGCACTTTATTTTAGCAGATGTTTCCAACCTAATAAACTTCTGAAAAATCAGCATTATAGTTGTGGAACCCAACAGAGCCACCAGTGCTCGAGCAACCTAAAGACATGAGAACCTTTTTATCACAATTCTTTGCTAGTCCCAGTGCACTAAACCCAACCAACCAAAGAAAAAAAAAACCCTCACAAAACCACCACCACCAAAGATAGATTCTTTTACTTTGTCTTCTTAGGTTCTGGCGTTCTTGAAACCCTCCTGATGGGTCTAGTGCTTGGAGATGGAGACTGTCTTCTCTGGGGTGAAGCTGAAGCTCCCCTTCGCGGTGGTGGTGGGCTTGCAGAGGTATGAGAAGCTCTAGGCCGTGGTGAAGGTGAATGCCTTTTGTTTTGTGGAGGAGAACGTGTTTCCCGATTGGATCTACTGGGAGGAGATCCCTTCCGGTGCTTGGAAGATTGCGAAGGCGAACGCCTTTTAGCAGTTGGTGAGCACCTCTGTTTTGGTGGTGGTGAATGGGAAACTCTGCGTTTGGACTGTGGAGAAGGGGATGCCCTTCGTTTAGGTGGGGGAGGAGGAGAGGCTGTTCTTCTCTTCGGTGGTGGTGAAGGAGAATATCGTCTCTGTATTGGTGGAGAGTATCTCCGTGGAGAAGGTGAACGTCTGCGTGGGGGTGGTGATGGAGACCTATGGAAAAAAGCACAGATGTTCAGGTGCCATATGGGCATATGAGTTGGTTACAAGTGCCTTACAGGGAAAAAGAACTCTAAAAATTCTTTAAAACTTCATTTAACACCAAACTTTCAAAATCACCTGAATGGGTGTTATTCAGTATCTGCTACAGCAATCAAATGATAACCAGGCCACACATCTACCACATCCAGTCTCACCAGCAAAACTACACTCCCCTCATTAAGCTGGGAATCAGGGAACTGGTATCCTGGCATTTCAGTTTCCATGGTGGCATTTCTATTTCCATGTCCTAGCTGGCAGTCAAAAAAGCAGAAGCCCCCACTTTGTGATACAATGCAGTACATTACCTTCGACGAGGCAGCGAAGGGGAGCGCCGGCGCCGGGGTGGAGGGGCAGGGGAAGGGGTGCGTCGCCGCCGTGCTGGCGGGGGTGAAGGGCTTCTCCTCCTCCTGCTGCAGAGAGAAAAGGATGGCTCAGTGATGTTCAACATGAGATTTATTTCTGTTCTGCTTTCACTGTACAAATGATCCTGTGCATGCACTTCAACATGAGATTCTATTAGAACTACGGATGGAAAAAATCAAAACCACCTCTTTGTTGTAACGCAGTGATGTGACTGCTAGATCGCACCCCAGGGAGGAACCTGGAATGCCCAGCTGCATCCAGCAGCACAGAACTGCCCTCAGCAGCAGTCTTGACGTTGGACCAGATTAGACAGTGTGAAACTGTACTCTTGACACAGCCTGTATCTATGGCTCTGAGATCCAAAATTACTTATTGAAATAGAGGGAAAAAAATCAGAGTTGTTGCTAAACTGCAGCTATCTGGATTATGCATAAAACAAGGCTCTTGCAAGGTTTACAGCTGACTTCAGAGAGGAGAAATTTTCATCAAATATACTTTCCTGGACTTTCAAATGAAAGAAATATTGGTATTTTGTAAAGTAAAACATTCCTTTTTCAAAATAGCAATGAAGACAAAATGACTGGATAAAGCACAAAACAAGAGTAACGAAAACACAAAGCAGCTCAGCTGTATAAACTATTTGATTTTTAAATACACTGGTGGTTGTTCTCCAGGGCAATGAGTTAACACTTTTTTACAGATAAGAGTTTGCTCCAAAAACCAACTTCTATGATCTGAAGACCCACCACCTTTGTAATGTCATGGTAGCCCTAATTAAATGTGCATTCACACAGGAGGCACTAGGTGAATTTAGTATGCTGCAGAACAAATTAAGATCTTTGAATTCCAGTGTTTTACTTAGAATTGTTTTACAAGATCCATAAATAGAATGGTTTGCATTTGTAGTATTCATCCTTAATCTCATCTATCATGCATGCTGTGACTATATTCTAGCTAGGTCTTCATGAGATTGCTCGCAAGGGTCACTGTATCGGATTAATAAACCCATTGAGCACCCAGCTTCCTGCACCTCCCTGTATTCTGTGAGCAAACTATTTCACAAATAGAAGTGTTAACAATACTTTCTACACAAGCAAAAATAAAGTAGGTGTTCACTACTAGTCTACCACCATTAGTAGTTCCAAGCATGTAATGAATTGAGGAATTAGAGTTTTGAAAATTATCTGTGACCCAGGAGACAAAGATCTTAAATAATTTGTTGCAAATGTACAGAATGGTGTTAGCCAGAACACCAGTGGCAACAAGAACACAAGGTGATGCTCACCCACCCACTCACCTTACAACCCTGTGCAAATGGAGTAAGAAACCTCCTGAAGAGTACAAGCACTCAGCTATTTTCAGGCATCAGTAGATGCTAATAACATTAGTGCTACTAGCTGTTACAGCTTATGTGAATTAACACAGTGAGAAATGAGGAGACAGAGCACGTGTTCCTCAACATGTTAAGGAGTCACCCCGAATTTCCCTCACCTTACTACGAGTGTGCAAGTCCAAAGGACAAAGGATGGCAACTACTTATCTATGACAAAATGAGAGCTTATCTCAATGATATTCCATATGCAAATCCTATTTAACAGATTCATTTCTAACCAACCTTTTCATCACTGGTGACTGCCACCTCTTTTCCATCTGCATCCTGATAGCAGTGGAGGAAAAACAAAACAGAACAAATCTATCTGCCACATATTTGAGGCAAGAATGAACACATTCAAATGAAGTTTACAGTAATTCTTACCAAACAAGCATAACAAAAATGCAACCTTGAAACAAGGTTGGGCACACTTGACACAACTTAATTCTGCTGTGTATTTTGTTGACAGTTGCACAGCAGAAACAGCAGCATTAACTGAACAGTTAGAAGACCTTGGTTATGCTCAACTTAAGAGAGAATTACCGAGGGGAGGATTCCTTCGGTCGCCTGCGTGGAGACGGTGATGGACTGCGTGAATGGGAATGGCGTCGGCGCCTACCAACTTCCCCATTCTTCACATTCGATCTTTTAGGTCTTTCCTCTTCAGATGAAGACGAAGAACCAGAATCTATGAATGTAGAAGAATCACTCTCTGGAAAATGATTCTCACACTATTAACACAGCTGCTGTTAGGGTTATACTGCAGTTTAAACGACTAACCTCCTCTCCCACAAAGTAAGAAGTCTCTATTTAAAAGCAGTGCAACTAAAAATGTTATTTCAAGTCATAAATATATCCATCAGAGCTGAGGAAAAACATTTCCAGCAACCTAACTGGCCACATAAAATTTGACTAGCCAGGTAATTTAAAAGATGAACTGCAATTACTTATAAAAACATTAGCAAACAAAACCCCATACCAAGCCCAGGTTAATTTACTGATCTCAAGTACAAAAGAGGTCAAAATATTAGGAAATAACCTATTGCAACAACAGGTTAGGTAATCCACAGCAAACAATACTGGTGTATGTCACCAAGAGTTTAAAAATATAACTTTATCAAAACCCATTAACAAGAGAGATATCCTAACTTGTAGAAGTTATACTTTATTTCTCTTGAGCAGCAGTTGAAGTGACTTCATTACAGGTGATAAATCTGTAATTAAGTTTTGCAACAAAACTGCAGTGCACAATTTTAGTAAGTATTTGAACCTAACTGCTAACTACTTCCCGCACCAGTAAACTAAAACAAATGCAGTTTTAGGAAATCTCTACCATCCGTACCAGATGAAGACTGTTGGTTCTGCCTTCTGTACTGACGCCTCTGTTGAACAGAGTCCGCTGCTGCCATTTTACCTCCTTTGTCTTCTTCTGAAAAGGTACATGCATGGACAGAATATTTACACCAAATACACAAATTTGCCTTATTCACACAGAAGCAAAGTCATGCTAAAGCAGATCATCAAGCAATCTCCTTCCGCCTCCCCCAGTCTCAAGATAACATTGAGGCTCGAAGACACTTCAGCTGAGCTTTTTTTTCCCAAGAAAGCTTGGATATAAACATCTGAGTGATCACCTTTATGTCTGAAAACTCTTTCTTTCTATGTCAGTGCTCCAAGAGGGTTCAGCACTTTAACACTGCCTTTATTTGACAAACACCTTGTTTGCCCCACCCAAAACCAGCATGGAAAAGTAAGAGCCGTACCAGATTCTGACAGTTCTGTTTTCCTTGCTTTTGGTGCTGGCGAAGGAGACTCTCGTTTTTCAGTACTCTTACGTTTGAGTGCTAAAAGACAAAGACAAAAATAACTCAGTTCCAGCCCTTAACACTCCTGCATGCTTTTCTGTCAGACAAACTGCACACACCATCATTGAAAAAACAAAAGCACAATGACAGAACTGCTGGGATACAAGTTTTATTTCATCACCTGATGCTCTGCTGGGTGAAACGGAACCTCGGCTTTTCCTTGCACGATTTGACTGCTGGGGTGTTGGAGACCTACGTGGTTTTGGAGGTGGACTTGCTGGTGGGGATGGTCTGTGCCTCCTCCGAGGAGGGCTTGCGGAAGGAGAGAACCTACGTGTTTTACGAGGGGGACTGGATGCAGTCCTTTTAGGTAGTTTCTTTGGTGGTGATCGGGAACGTGAAGAGGAGGAGGAAGAGCTACTGCCAGATAAGGATGCTGATGACCGTCGTCTCCTGTAAATCAAAGAGAACATTAGATTCTGACTAGCCAGCTTAAGAAATGTTTGAGCGTGAGCACAAAGTTACATTTGTTTGCAAGCACATATATAGAACCACATACAACAGCACTTCTGAAACATGGACAGCCTTCAACACTTGGTTTGTGGAAGAAAAAATATCAACCAATCTTTCACAGTTAATTGTTAGTGTTCCCTTTGTTTGCTTTCTGTCAATCTACAGACTACAACTAAGCTTTTGTCCTGGAGGCAATTAGTTTTGTTTGGGCTCTCTGACTTTTGAATGGTTAAGAGAATTCTCCATGTTAGCACATGTGACTGAATGATCTTCACAACAGATCTCTTTTAAGAGAGTTTAGTGTGCAAGTACACTAAAAAAGTTTTTTACCAAGAGGTACAAATTTCAGACAACTTAATAACTCAGACCCATCTCTCCATCCTGGTGGTTTAGTCTGTCATCTTTACTTTGTAATTTTAAAAAGGTAGGGCCTCTAGAATTCTGCGGCAAAATTTGTGGCAAGTTCTGTTGCAATTGTGTACCTGCAGAATCCACCTTTGGCTGCAGAATTCCTGAGAACCTGGAAAAAAGAAACCCTACCTTGAGTGAGATAAACATTTGCTGAAAGGGAGCTCTTGTACATCTTGCAAAATACATGTTTGATGCTTTCCACAGTTTTCCCATTTGTGTGAAATGAACATATTTATAAACTCAAGGAAAAAAAATATAATATAGTCATCACCTTGTCAGAAAAAGGAAGAACTGTTGCTTCCTGAAAAAAGAACAACTGCTGTACACAGGAAGCATCACGTTAATTCTCTTCCTATGAAGAGGGTAAGAATCTAGTCTCTTCCTATGAAGACAAATGTCTGTTTTGACACTGCCAGAAGTATAAAGTTTTCTCTGTAAGGCAACTCAGATCTTTGCTACTAGAGCAATTGCTTATGCTGTCATAAATGTAACCTCCAGCACCAGACAGCAGACCTTGAGAATTTTTGTAAGAACATGAAGAGGAAACAGATTTCACGTCAAAATTAAATTTTGATTGTAGTTTTATGTGATAGAAATGGAAGTCGTAATTAAAAAACTCCCAACAAGGCAAATCCAATTTGTCCTAATTTCTTCCCCAGGCAAAGGGAAAAAAGAAGAGCGTTCAGACTTAAGCAAAAGTGTCATAAGCGATGTCATGTCAACCTACACTGAAGCTATCCAGAGCCATTTGAAAGTTATTCTGAAAATGGCCTTTTTCAAAAAAGTGGAACTCTCATCACTATTTCAACTCAAAAGAAATTGTTTCACAGATACTTTTGTTTCCCCACTATACACTTATGAAATAAGACAGTGCAGATTTACATCACTCAAATCATATGCCTGACAGTACGAGACAAACAAGGGATCTTTGAGAGCACTCATTCCTCACAACTAATGTTCCCCTTCAGCTTTCAAGGTGTCACACTTTCAGCTCTCTCAAAGAAAGGGAACCTTACCGCCTCACAGGGGATCTGCTTCTTCTGTGCCTGGGAGGGGGAGGCATTCGCCTTGGAGGGCTCCTTCTCCTTGGAGATGGCCGTCGTCTTGGGCTTGGTCGCCTTCTAGGGGAGTAAGACCTGTCATAATCAGAAATTCAAATGAAAAGCAACTATCTAATTTTCAGATTTGAGGATATTTATCCTCAGGGCACTGAGCAGGAAGTTGCTTTTCTCCAAGTGCATCCCATTAAAGTAGCATTTAGACTGTGATGCATATATTCAGACACAATCAGTGCTTGAAGTTTCCCAACACCTCTCTACTAAATAGTAAAATAAAAAAAAAAAAAGAAGAAAATTCAAGTAATTACACCTTCAGCACCAAACCTATCTCCTAAAAATGCTACACAAGTCTCACCATCTAACAAGTGCCATACTCAGTAGTAAGCACCCCATTCCTCTCCACTCAGCGTTAGTCACTGTGAGCATCTTCTAATGAACCGGCAAGAAGAAAACAACTCCCAAACACATTTATCCACTGAAAGCATTTTCCTCATTTGGCCTAAAACATCCGTAGCTCAACTCCTCTAAGAACATCACTATTTACCTGAGAACATTACATTAAGTGGAGAAGAAAATATTCAGTCCTCAACCTTCATATCAAGACAAACTGAAGTCCTACCTTGACCGTGATCTATGACGCCTTCTTGGTCGAGAATGAGATGGAGAACGTGATCGAGATCTTGACCTTGACTTGGACCGAGTTGGGGACCTTTGACGAGTCTTCTCTTTTTCCTTCTCTCTCTCCTTCTTTGAATTACGTTCTGGTGAAGTTTCCTTAGTCTCTGGTGCAGGAGGTTCAGGTTTAGGAGCTTTTGGGATATCACTGTTAAAAAAGGTTTCATTTTAATAATCTTACTAAGACTATTGAATGATTCTTTTGCCATTGCAGAAGGACAAGGAGAAGGAGACACTCCCAAATCAAGACCCAAACAGGTATCAAGATAATTTATGCTTTTTAAAAGGTAATATACAGTTCTGCACGCAAAGCTATCATACTTACCTGTTTGAAGTTGGCTCTTGAACAACAGTCTCCTTTGGTTTCACAGAGGGTTCTGGCTCAGGAGTCACCTCCTTTTTTTCTGGTGCAGGAGTAGCACTACGGCTCTTGGTTCTGTGGTGAGGGGAGCGAGAATGGCTGCGCTTCCGCTCCCTTCTGAGAGGCGACGACCGCCTTCGAGGGGAAGGAGACCTTGATTTGCGTCTGTGAGAAAGAAGTGCCACTTAATAGCATAATGAAAGAGTGTACAGGATAACAAACCCTGTGCTATTCAGCAGCCAAGAGCTCTTCTGAATGAGGCAGACTCTCAGTACTGTTTACAGCAGTCAGATCACATGCAGAACTGCTTTGTACATATTTTCTGCTAGTAAATGGCAAACGAATTAAAATGTCAAACAAACAAAAAACTCAGACCCCCAAACCCAAAACAGCCTTTGCATACAGCTCCTAGTGTAAACAATAGCTATGTCAAAGCTGCTCTAGTTTTATTTGCTGTCACTGTTCAGTGTACGACAAGCTAGCCCCCAAGAACAGCTAGGTGGAGTATTCATGTTTCTGTGCCATGTGTGCCTCGCTCTGCTGTAGAGGGCCATTGATACACTGTGCATTTTCATTACCTTCTTGGACTCTTGGATCTGTCTCTTTTTTCTCTGTTGTCTTTGTCTTCCTTATCTCTCTTCTCCTTGTCTTCATCTTGTTTCTTCATAGAAGCCAGTTTCTCTTG